GTTACAATATATTGTGTGAATGAATGCAACGGCACCGACGAATGACGTTTTCGTCCGCCGATACGAGTCGCCGTGATGTAAGAAGACTGCTATAAGATAAGCGTGAAGCTCATGGTAATGCTCGGTTTCACCGCTTACATTATTGTTGAAGTTCGTGACATTCATTTTAACGTCAATTAATAATCACAAGTAATGGAAATAGGTATCGATTCGAGAAATATAGCCATGAACTAGGTGTTTAGTGTTTACGTATCAACTAATCAAGGTGAGTGGGTCAAGGTCAAAATTGCCAAGAAAAGTTTAGGTAGGTGATCATCTGGTTAACAAGCCGATGCGACCAGGCACGCGGCGAGACCGAGACTGCTCGCATTGATTTTACGAAATCCACATCACGAACTGAGAATGAACGGTCTCAGTCGACCCATTCATCTCGTTTTCATGTACCTACACGCCGCCGCTATTGCGATACGAAAGTGAGAGCGAAATTTACTCGGGCGCTACGCACAGCAACACCACGTACTGTCCTAAATACGACGGGAGAATAGATATCGATCGCCAATTGGCAATAGGGAGCAATTATGCATTTCTTTTCACCTAAACAGTTTTAATTTAGAGCATATTTCTCGAGTAAACCTCGAAATTACCCTAGCGCTAACGCATGGCAACACTACGTACTAAATGATAAAAAGAATACTAGTAGCGCTATTAACATTACTCCCGTTAACCACTCTGAGTACGAATATGAGAATACGAAACCATAAAGAATATGAGATTGATTGACATACTTTCGCAAAATTTATTCGGAAACTTTACAGTTGTACCTCCGGCATCATTAATTCATGTACTCCAATATGTTGTTGATGCAAGCAAGACGCGACCTACGCCTATTGCCTATTCACAAATGCACTCCACTAAAATTGTTTCTAAATTTTCCATTTTACTACAGGGAGTTGATAGTGATACCCGGCGGATTGAGAGGGCGCAAAAAAATAAAGTTAGAGAAAAAAGTAATTCCGTTTAATTTTAGTACTAATTTAATAATTTTAAAACCTACTCTTCTAACGCACCCAACTAATGACAGATGTAAGGCCCGCCACACACTACATACTGAACGGGACAAACAGTTCGGCCAAACACATACGGATTACGGAATTCCGTTTTACCCGCAAAACTTCGAAATGGAATTTCGTATGTATGTGGCGATCCTAAGTCAGCTATTAGCTTTTTAAATGCTTACAATACTTTTAATGTATACATAGATTATGTAAGCGATAAATGAAGTCTGTTCACTTATAACAAGACATGATAAATACTTGTTTACAAATATAAAGAAAGATCCGACAGAGTGTAGGAACATACCGTATAATCCGCATCACACAGCTAAATCTAAATATAGCGGGCGCCGATATCAGCGGCTCGCCCTTGAACCAGTCGCACGGAAACATTTTATTATTATTACCGAGCTGTCGGCGAGCACGAGTGTGTCGGGTCGACGACCCCACGACCACGTGTCTCCTTATCGACAACTATCTATCACGATTGTGGGTAAACAACGGACCGAGATAAATGACTAATTTCCACGGTAATTGTTCATTTGATTCATTCATAAATAATCGCAACAACGTCACAGCCACTTCGATGACAATGAACAAAAATTCCTTGAACAAACGCAACTTTTGATCTCAGACATATTGTAACTATGAAGCATAGAATCAAAGTCCGAACACAACACTTTTCAAACAAATAGCACACTCTTTTGATACACATATATTTTAAAAATATCATCACGATTAAATTTAAGACTGAAGGCATGACATGTCTGAATAAACTAACAGAAATCTCTCAACAAAAGCACAACACTGAAATGTACATAAACATAAGAGCTTCCGTTAATTGCATCAAAAGCTCGGACGGAAGTACACCCGTGCCGTGGGAAGTGGGACAAACGTTACGTAAGCGGTACTTGTTCGGCCAGCCTACACAGGTACATCCTTACAAATGCGTGCGGCCTTGAATGTGAACTCTAAAGTGTACGAACACGTGCCCGATGCATTGTTTTATGGCGGCCCGGTGCGGAATGCCGCAATCGAACTGCTAGGTTTACAACGTAAACGAGAAACACGTATTATGATGCCAAACGTTAATTTTATGACGAAATCCAATCTGAAAAGAGGTTTCATCTCTGTGATAATAACTGTTTCGCAAACATTTTGAAAATAATTTTAGAGTTTCAGTTTACCCATACAAGCGCAAGTGTACCATTTATATTAGAGTAAGTAGAAAGTAGTCGGTGTTATTGAAGACTATTGTCGTTAAGTATCGGGGTGTCACAGTCACTTGACTTAAAGTGTTAGAGAATTTTAATTCAATACAGATCAAATAAAGTTAAAACAAAAGTCAAAAGACTGCGTATGGAGGCAGAATACCATCTTAAGATAGCAGCATTGTGCTGCTATTAACATTGGTTTTCTGTGAGTATGGTCGAACCCCGGTCGAGCCGACCCAACTTTGCCGCAGCATAATACAAGGCTGTACTGCGTATAACTTACGAATGCAGACTCAGTTTGTCTAATGGTTACAATGCCACCAACAAGAGAGGGGGAAAGGAGTAGAAAATAGGAAAAAGAATGATTATAATAGGAATGGATTAGAAAAAAAATAGTAGGTTATTCTGTACTGGAGACTCAGTGATAGAAGTCGTAAAACTGTATATCTTGCGACAACTACAGACAAGGAGTTGGTTGGTAACGCTCGAAGGCGAAACTAACATCCAAATATGCTGTGGCCAAAATCAACATAGTGCAAGTGTATCGGGCACTACGCTTACGTATCCAGCAGTAAATTGAGACTAAGAATAAAGACAGAGACTAAAAATGGAAGATTTCTTTATGAGCTTATAATACACTAAAAGTAGGTTTTAATGTTGTTTTAAGATGCATGAAAATAAAATCGAACATTAGACAACAACTAGTTCTGGCGCATTTTAATATTAATTTTAAGTCTTCGCACGAAACATATAAAAGTATGTCTGGTAAAAGGAACGAAACCCTTTCAACTTGACGCCGTGTCAGATATACACGTGTCAGATGTCAAGTTGCATTCACGTTGATTCCGTCAAACATACGGGCCGACGCCGTTGGCTCTACATAATGTATGTGCGGGGAGCATAGGCGGCGGAACGGCATCGAAACCCCGCATCACGTTTGACTTTACCCCGTTTTGGAGCTGAGAGGCGAACGCACAAATCTCCGCCTGGAAGCGAGTAATATTTGCCTACACATCAAACTTTCACTATCGTCGTGCGCTTTCGTTTTTATATTCGCTAGCGGCGACGGGCCAGCTTTGTTGTTGCCGATGCTTTTTTTTTCATTTTTCTACATTTAGAATCTGACAAATAATGACGTTCAATATCCATGTGTAAAGCACACAATGGCTGTGATTTAAAAGATATAATGAAATATTAGTATATGCAAACTAAGCTTATGGTCAAAGGATATACATGGGGTCTGCTTAGTTAATTTATTTATTCTAACAACTGTCGTTGTGAACCAACCCGTAGTACAAGTTTTTACAGCTCATTTAGTTTGAAGTATTTAAAGGGCACGAGTTAGTGTTAGTAAAGTTAATAGCATTGCTCAGACCAAAGAAAGATAGAACACTACGTACGTACGTAAGTACGTAAAAACATACTCAAAGCAGAAATTCTAGAACACGCACAGATAAATTTAACCCTTCAATCCCCATAAAAATCCCATACAGTCGCATGCATACGACAAATCCCGAGCCGTCGCATGCGACCGCACCCACCGACAGCTCTTTAAGCCACTAAAATTTTTTGGGATTTTAACGGTTTATATATATATATATATATATATATATATATATATATATATATATATATTACTCGAAATTATTTTCGTAAGAAGATAAATTATATTCACACATAAACTTTCATTACAATTTTATAATAAAACACTAGAAAAATACAAAAATCAACATAATAACATTCACACGAAAATGGCGTAGGAAATGAACGTAGATTATAAATAAATATCTATAGAATTTTTATACCACTAGAGGATAGAAAATTTCATATTGATTCTATAATGCTAAACTTCTTCATAGAAAAATAGTCTCTAAACCTAAATATTTATGGGTTAAAGTGCTGTGGGTGAGTGCGGTCACATTTGACCTCATGAATTTTGACGGAATATCGAGGCGGAAAACTTACTTTTAGTCTTAACATGACCAGAAAAGTTAAATTGAATTTTTTTTTGTTTCCTTTATTTACAACAATCCGTCGCCTTTGTGGGACATTCAGCAGTATGTTGGAGCTATCGCTGGCGTGCTCGATATGTGACCTGTGTCACATCCTCATTATTAAACAGTAACTGCGTTTACTGTGTTTGTGTTTGTATTAAATCCTGGGGTATCTTGCGCTTTAAGCGTCGCGCTTTGTTGTGGTTTGCCATGAGTGGCAGGGCCAGAGTATTTGGATGACGTTCGATGCGCTCTTTATAAGTTCTAGTATGGCGTAGGATTTCCTGTTTCACAGTAGGCAGGCGTAGATCATGATGTAGTAATTCGTTGGGCACATACCAGGGGGCAATAGCAGCAGTTTTTTATTTTGAAACCTTTGTAAGATTTCGATCCTTGAATGGGATGCAGTACCCCACAGTTGTATTCCAGTACAGAAGTATTTTGTTTTCTAGAGACAACTGAGACTTTCGCCCTATGAGCCATTAAAGTTTTCGCGTTTGAATACCGAGTTGCTTTCTCTTAGTGAAAATATGTTTTTGCCAGGAAATTATTTTGTCTAAGTACAATTCAAGGTATCTCACATGATCTGCCTGTGGAACTGCAATGTTGTTAAGTGTTACTGGGGGGCAAGAGCCCATTCTTAGGGTGAATGTTACGTTGACTGATTTTGTTTCATTTGCTTTTATCCGCCACTTTTTGAGCCAGTGGGATATGTTATTTAGCCCTTTTAGAAGTATTTGTTAGGCTATTTTTGGGTCGCTATGAGTAGCCAGTATAGCGGTGTCGTCAGCAAAGGTTCCAGTGATTAAGGATTCAGATGTCAGCAGGTCCGCAGTGACAAGTAAGTAGAGTATGGGACCCAGTATGCTGCCCTGCGGAACTCCTGCTTTTATAGGGCAGATATCTGACAGAGCTTCCCCTTGTTGTACTATGAAATGGCGCTGCTGGAGAAATGATTTTAATATCCAGTAAAGGTGATCAGGTAGTGCATTTTTCAATTTGAATAACAATCCCTCATTCCACACGTGGTCAAATGCTTGAGATATGTCCAGGAACGCACTGGCACAGTAAGATTTACCTTCCAGTGACAACATGATGTATTTTGTTAGCCTGTGCACTTGGTCGATAGTGGCATGCTTACTGCGGGATTAGCTCCTTCTCTTTGAGTATAGGCAAGGTTCGTTGTAGCGGTAGGGATTCATATATTTTGGATGGGATGGGTAGCAGACTTATGGGCCTGTACGATTTTGTTTCTTCAGGTTGTTTCTCTGGCTTTACTGGCACAGTAAGATTTACCTTCCAGTGACACTATGATGTATTTTGTTAGCCTGTGCACTTGGTCGACAGTGGCATGCTTACTGCGGGATTAGCTCCTTCTCTTTGAGTATAGGCAAGGTTCGTTGTAGCGGTAGGGATTCATATATTTTGGATGGGATGGGTAGCAGACTTATGGGCCTGTACGATTTTGTTTCTTCAGGTTGTTTCTCTGGCTTTACTGGCACAGTAAGATTTACCTTCCAGTGACACCATGATGTATTTTGTTAGCCTGTGCACTTGGTCGACAGTGGCATGCTTACTGCGGGATTAGCTCCTTCTCTTTGAGTATAGGCAAGGTTCGTTGTAGCGGTAGGGATTCATACATTTTGGATGGGATGGGTAGCAGACTTATGGGCCTGTACGATTTTGTTTCTTCAGGTTGTTTCTCTGGCTTTACTGGCACAATAAGATTTACCTTCCAGTGACACCATGATGTATTTTGTTAGCCTGTGCACTTGGTCGACAGTGGCATGCTTACTGCGGGATTAGCTTCTTCTCTTTGAGTATAGGCAAGGTTCGTTGTAGCGGTAGGGATTCATACATTTTGGATGGGATGGGTAGCAGACTTATGGGCCTGTACGATTTTGTTTCTTCAGGTTGTTTCTCTGGCTTTACTGGCACAGTAAGATTTACCTTCCAGTGACACCATGATGTATTTTGTTAGCCTGTGCACTTCGTCGACAGTGGCATGCTTACTGCGGGATTAGCTCCTTCTCTTTGAGTATAGGCAAGGTTCGTTGTAGCGGTAGGGATTCATATATTTTGGATGGGATGGGTAGCAGACTTATGGGCCTGTACGATTTTGTTTCTTCAGGTTGTTTCTCTGGCTTTACTGGCACAGTAAGATTTACCTTCCAGTGACACCATGATGTATTTTGTTAGCCTGTGCACTTGGTCGACAGTGGCATGCTTACTGCGGGATTAGCTCCTTCTCTTTGAGTATAGGCAAGGTTCGTTGTAGCGGTAGGGATTCATACATTTTGGATGGGATGGGTAGCAGACTTATGGGCCTGTACGATTTTGTTTCTTCAGGTTGTTTCTCTGGCTTTAGCAGCATTACAATTTGTGCGACCTTCCACTCCAGAGGAAAAAAACTGCAACTGGTCATAGCATTAAATAGTGACGTAAGAAAAGATATGCCAGATTCAGGTAGTTCTGGTAATATACGGTTTGTAATGAGGTCGTATCCTGGAGCCTATTTTTGGGTTTGATTTTCTAATTATTCGAGCAACTTCCGTTTTTGTAAATTTAAGAGGCATTTCCTGCGTATCTTTTGGGTTATTTGAGTGGTTAGTAATTTCTGCAGCATCTTCTGATGAGCCGTCATATGGGTGAGGGGTAAAGGCGTTAGAGAGGTGTTCTGAGAAGGTTCTGGCTTTCTCCTGGTCTGTTCGCGCCCAGGTACCACCTGGTTTTCTTATAAGAGGAGAAACGTTGACAGGCCGTTTTAGTCTTCTGGTGGCTTTCCATAAAGAGTAGTTGGTGAGGTAATTATGAAATCCGTCATTACAATCTTTCTATAGGATGTGTTTTAGCTGTCTGTTGGCGTGATTGAGTTGTTTTTTCGCCACAGGGTCTCTGGTTGTTTGCCAGCATTTCCGTATCCTCCTTTTTTTGATTATTTTATCGAGTATGTGTTTCGGTATGTGGGTGTCCAGGTTTCTAGATGGTAGTAGTGGGGTCGATGACCAAGCTGCATCTTGCACACTCTTGTTGAAGTATAGCACCGCTTCCGTTATTTTGTCTTCCGATTTTAGGCTAACTGATTCTTGGAATGCTTTGTCTGTGAGCTCACGAAATAGCTCACAGACAAAGCATTCCAAGAATCAGTTAGTTCTATTGTTATGCAGAACACATTTTCTGACGCGTTCTTGGGGGGTGGTATGTAGTTTTACTATGATTGGAGAGTGGTCTGAAGATAAGTCCCAGCAACTCTGGCACGATATGATTTTCTTAGCGATTTCTTTGCTGACACAAAAATCTATAACATCTGGGATTTTTCTTTTGTCTGTTGGCCAGTAAGTCAGTGGACCCAACGATACCACATTCATATTTCTTTTTTGTATGAATTTATATGGTTCTCGCCCTCCGGGTAGAACAAGCTTGTAACCCCAAAACGAATGCTTGGCATTATAATCACCTCCTGCGATAAACTTGCCTCCAAGTGTTTGAAAGAAGTTACTGAACTCTGATTCCTTGATCGTGAATCTAAGTGGACAATAGAGGGCCGATATTGTAATGTCACTAATCTAGTCTGTTACCACGACATTTGTTGCCTAGATGTAGTTTTTGCAGTAATGTTGTAGTACACGATGCCTGATGTTTGACCTGATAAAAATGGCCGATCCTCCATGTGCTTTGTTATCTGGGTGGTCAGTATGGTACATGTTGTATCCTGGTAGGCTAAAGTGGCTTTTGGATGTGAAGTGGGTTTCTGAGATTAGTAAAACATCTATGCGGTGCATTTTAACGAATATTTTTACCTCTTCCGAGTGGTTTGACAAGCCATTAGCATTCCATACACACAATTTTAGTGCTGTGAATGTGATGGCAATTTTGAAATTAAATCGGTTAGCATTTTGGTCATGACTAGCATTTGATTTATCAAGGCAACAAGTGTCTCCTTAATAATTTGGGGCTCACTCGTGTTTGGTTTCCATCCTTTGTGTTCGTTGTTTGTGTTGTAGGTTTTCCAGGAACTTCTTATGTGGCTTGGGCATACGATTTTCTGTTATTTGTTGATTTGCCTGTAGGTTCTTGTTCTTTTCTAGTGTATCCAGGGTTCTTCTTCTTCTTCTTTCTTTTTTTTGGCGGTTTTCGATTATTCGCCAATGTCAGCGTGGAAGTGTTTATTGAGTACAAGCTCAGTTACAAATACTATGCCCATGAACTAAAGAAGATTGTGATAATACAAGTGTCTTGTTTTATTTCAACAATTAAATTTTCCTTTTTATCTTATAATACTAGTGGTTGTACTGTTGAATTACCTAGGACAAATGACAAACACAGTTGCTATAATTACTTTAGTATATTAGTATTGACAAACATTAAACTTTTATACTATTAGAGTTAATAAAATCACACAGAATATATACATAAGGAGTGTTTGTGTAGGTTAAAAGTGAATCAAAATTTATAGGACGAGGGATGTCAGGAGGGAGGTGATCATAGAGTGAAGAAGATAATTTAGGACAGTTAAAAAAATATGGTCAGAAGTTCCCTCATCTAACCCACATTCGCAGAGGGAACTGTCCCTAATCCTCAGTTTGGCTAAATGTACTGGTGTACAAGCATGGCCAATTCGAAGTCTACAGATAGTTGATGTTGACTGTTTGTTAGCTTTATTAAATTTGAAAAACCATGGTTTTGGAGGAATGGCACCTTGTATAGCAGCATAGTGTTTACCTTTTATATTTTGAGTGGCTTTCCATAATGTATTCCAATTATTATTTAACTTCTTCTTTGCAAGTAACACTATGTCTGAAGAGTAAACTAAATTACATGGTAAACCACTTCGACTTGCATTTTTAGCCATCAGATCAGCTGTTTCATTGCCCTTGATGCCACTATGACCTGGAATCCAAGCTAAGGAAACCTGAATACCCTTGAGATGGCATGTATACAATGTGTGTTTAATTTTGAGGATCAAGGGTATCTTATATTTACTTTGGAACTGGTTTGACAAAATTGCTAACAAACAGCTTTTTGGAGTCAGTAAGAATAACTGACTTATTTAGGTTGTGTGCTTCTATATAAATTAAAGCTTCATAAATTGCCGTGGCCTCGCCAGTAAAAGTGGAAGAAATAGAAGGGCATTTAAAATTGAGGATTATTTTGTATCTGGGAATCCAAACGGCTGCTCCAGTGCAACTTTCACCTGACTTTTTGGAGGCATCAGTGTATATAATAAGCCAGCCTTTCCATAAGTTATCTATGACTCTACTTAGTTTACTATTTGCTATAGGGCAATCTTTCTCAATACCAAGGTCGAGGTGGATATTTGGTTGATAAATAATTGCATCATATGGGATATCAAAGATGGGACAGGACTTGCATTGTGATACTGGGTGTGGTAGATGGAGTAATGTTACCAAACTGTTGGATAAGCAGGGAGATTCTTTATGAGACCAGTAATGCTTTGATGAAATATATTCCAAAAGAAGGTGTAATTTAGAAATGAGCGGGTGGGAAGAGAGTTGGTAGATTTTAAAAAAGAATCGGTCCGAAAGATATTGTCTTCTTAGGTAAAGAGGGGGATCTACACATTCGACTTGGAGAGCATTTATTGGGGAAGATTTCATTGACCCAATGATTATACGAAGGCTTTTGGCCTGAATCCTATCTAGATTCTTTAGGGAAGACTTATTACAGGGTTCCAAGACAAAGCACTCATAATCCAAATGACTACGAATAAGGGCATTGTACAATAATTTTTGAGAGAATGGGTGGGAGCCCCACCAAACTCCCGATAAAGCTCGAAGAATATTTATATTTTTTTCACATTTTTTGGAAACATAGTTGATATGATGGGAAAAGGCTAGTTTGGAGTCAAGAATAACTCCCAAAAATTTTACATTCTCCCTAATTGGGATAGGTTCATTATTATAGAGAATGTTGATTTCAGGGAGTTGCCTATGGCGAGAGAAGATCACAACACTGCTTTTGGGAACAGCCAAAGACAAACCATGATCAGTTAACCAATCATGTAAATAGGACATTGATAAATTCAAGTGGGAACAAGCTGCAGGGAGGTTATCCAAGGAAATATATATAGCTA